CCACTGCCAGCCCCACCCCTTCTCCTCCAACACCCCCACCGCCAGCCCCACTCTTTATCCTCCAGCGTCCCCCACTCCCAGCCCCACATCTTATCCTCCATTGTCCCTCACTCCCAGCCATACACACCCTATCGCCCACTTCTAGCCCTCCGCCCTTCTGCTATCTCAGTACGTCCTCTCTGCCAGTCCATTCACCACATCTCCCAGCAGCCCCACACTCCTATCCCCACACACCCTAACCCCCACTCCCAGCCCCTTTTATCCCAGACTCCAGTGTCCCCCATTTCCCCTGCCCCATACACTGCATCTTCCAGTGTTCTCCACTCCCAGACCTACACACCCCATCCTTCCCCACTCTCAGCCCCACACACTCCATCCCAATGCAAATCCATTCCCAGTCCCACCACCCCAGTCCCCACATTCTCCAGTATCCCCCACTTCCAGCTCCACACCCCCCATTCCCCAGCAAACTATCCCCAATCCTCTACTCCCTGGCCCACAGCCCATCCCACACTTCAAACCTCCCTCTATCCCAGTATATCCTCTCTGCCAGCACCACGTCCTGCAGCATTTCCCACTCCCAGCCCCACACACCCCATCCTCCAACATCCCGCACACCCCATCCTTCAGCATCCACCTCTCAGCCCCACCATGCCAGTCCTACACTCCCTATCTGCAGCGTGTACCAGCCCCAAACACCTTCATGCATAGACCCACAAGCCTCCTTCCAATCATCCTGCATTCCCATCTCTACACCACGCCCTCCATTTCTCAGTATGTCTAACCTCCAGCCCCACGGAATGCCACAAAAAAGATAGTCCTCTTGCACTGACAAAACCTATCTTGCTAAGTTCCACATGATTGTTCCCTGCCATGCTGACTCTCAACAGGATCTCCACATACCAGAAATTGACTGCTCTCCAGTCTCTAGTTAAGTGCATATTTTCAAGTAGATTGCCAGAGATGTATGTACAAAATCCCTGTGTGTATTCAGGTATAACTAGATACATTTGCAGACAGCTATGGGTCCATGCATTGCTTTATGTTTACTTACCTATTTGGATTGAAATTCAACATAAACTAGCTGAAACTCTTAGCACCCTTGACAATAATTATAAATACCACCTGAAAATAATTACAAAGCTCAGAAAAGAACATGGGTCACTATATAATAATAATTTGTGTGTGTGCATATTGCAGATTAAAACCTTCCTTTTCTCATAGTCAGGCTCAGCTCTGCCAAAGACCCACTCAAAGATAAGGGCTTTACAGTGTGCCTGGAAAAGCAACAGAGTGATGCTATTTTGGACCAAAAAAGGGAGTGCATTCCAAAGATGAAAGCCCTGGAGGTTGCCCTGCCAGCAGATCCTTCCTTTTTGTACAGTATTGAGAGACTCCAGCTCAGATGCCTTCACTGATCTCAACTGCAACACTATGGCATGTAAAAAGAAGCCGTATCTCAGGTAGGAAACACCTAGATCTTTTGAACTTTATAGGTCAAAATCCTTATAATCCTAGGCTGCAGAAAAAATTGCCAGCTGTCTACCCTAGCCGCTTGAATTTCTGCAAGAACACTGACGATCTCATGTAAGATGGTCAGTGTTCTTGCGGAAATACTATGCTGCTCCCGTTCAGGCAAAAGCCCTCTTGTGCAAATGCTTTTGCGCAAGTGGGCCAGTGTAGACAACGCGGTATTGTTTTGCGCAAAAAAGCCCCGATGGCGAAAATGGCGATCGGGGCTTTCTTGCGCAAAACCGCGCCTAGATTAGCATGGACACTTTTCCGCAAAAAGTGCTTTGGCGGAAAAGCGTCCGTGCCAATCTAGACGCTCTTTTCCGCAACTGCTTTTAACGGAAAAACTTTTCCATTAAAAGCATTTGCGGAAGATCATGCCAGTCTAGACATAGCCCTGAAGTCAAGGTGTCATGGAGGTTGGCATGTGCACTCATATAAACTTCCCAAGGGACAGAAAATCCGGCAAACTCACAAAATCTTATTAGAAAAAATGTATTCAAATTGGGTTGAATATAAACCCTGTGGCCTGAATACTGGTTTAAGGACAAGAAACACAAGCTTCAGAGGTGTAGCCAAGTTAGTCTGTAACAGGAAAAACTTAAAAAAACAACAGATGAAGAAGTGGGTTGTGCCCATGAACGCTCATGATGCCGTCTACATGTTTTGTTAGTCTTTAAAGTGCTACTAGACTATTTGTTGTTTTTTAAGTTTTCCAGTAAACACCAGGTAATGCTAATGCCATTGTCTTAAGTTGTGGGAAGAGTTCCGGTGGGGGTATTGCAGGGATCAGTTTGAGGTTCAATGTTATTTTCATTAACCTTTTATTGGTGATCTGGAACATGTAGTTAAAATAATTTCAATATTGCAAATGATGCTAAACTAAGAAGAGCTGCACATAATTGTGAAGAGACAAATAATAAAAAGGGGACACCTGAATATAGGAAGAAAGTAACATAATTAGATCCAGCATGGAAAATACACCTTAAATAGTAAAAATTGCTTGTACATATGAAGAGAAATAATTTGAAACATACACTAAGGCTACGTCCACACTGCAGGCTTCTTGCGCAAGAAGCCTGTTGTACAATAGTTTTTGCGCAATAAACTTTTTGTACAAGAGCACGTCCACACCTCAAAGCGTATTGCAAAAGCAATATGCTTTTGCACCAGAGAGCGTCCACACTGCATTGACGCTCTTGCGCAAGAAAGCTGATGGCCATTCATGGCCTCAGAGCACCTGTGCTTTTTCCCTCAGGAGCTTCCACACTTGCTTTTTTGTGCAATAGCTATAGCACAAAAGGGAGATTTGCCTCGTAGAAGAAGGTTTACCTACACCAGCAAAAGCCCTCTGATCTGCTATTTTACTGCTGGTTTACTTGCGCAAAAGCACATTTCATGTGTGGATGCTCCACTGGTTTTTGCGCAAAAACCTTGCAGTGTAGACGTAGCCTCAACGGGAAGAAACATGGGAAAAGTAGTAGTGATAGAAACCCAGGAGTGGTAATAGCAGCAGCTTCACTTTTTAGGAACAAGAACGTCAGGTTCATTGGAGGTAGCTGCTCTGAGGTGGAAAAAAACCCTAGAGCTAAGTCATTGCTGTACCTTTCTGTTGGGTATCACGTTTGGTTGCAACACAAGGAGATGGATTGGCATGGTATGTTAATTGTGGTTTGTGTGAAATCTGCCACTGAATCAGCAGTACATTTAACACATGAGCTTTCCTGCAGGACCCAGTGTCACTAGATCTGAAAGAAGCATGCACATCATCCATGGCCCTTCCCTAATTTAGATCTGGGATCTAGGGATTTGATAGATCTTGGCTCATCTTCCCAGATACTCTCCTCCTATCTTAGAGGAATATGAGAAAGTAATAAAACTTGTCTGTGGTCTTATTGTAGCTTAGTCCCAGGATATGAGAGAGACAAGATAGGTGAGGTAATATATTACCTGTTGGCAGACAATCTGGCACACCTTGCATTTAGCATGTCCATTCTAATTACCTTCTCCAGGTCTGAAGAATACTAAGGGGTGCCTACAGCCTCCATAGGTCTTTGGGAAGGTGTGTGTGGGGGGCAGTTCCATGTTCCAGGAAGGGGCTAGGGCCTCAAGTGGAAGGGGAGGGGCTGTGGTAGAAGTTGGTTCAATAAAAGATATTACTTCATCTACCTTGTCTCTTTCAGTAATAACAAAAAATAACATTTCTGAGCCAAACATCTCAAAGCCCTTTACAAAAACTAGTCAAGTCTCACTATGCGCTGTGAAGTAGGTAGGTGTTGATAGTAGGGCTGTCAGTTGACCTCCGTTAATGCCTGCGATTAACGCAGGACAGGATTATTGTGTTAATTTTTTTAACGCATTAATCACAGGTGTTAATGCTGTGTTGCCCCGTTAAAGCACCAAAACGGCGCTGCTTGCGCTGCCCCTTTGAAGTACCGTTTTGGAATCCCCAGCTGATCCCAGGCTCCTAATGCGCTGCCCCTTTAAAGTGCCAAAAGGGCACTTCAAAGAGGCTCGGCATTGCAAAGTCCCTTTGAAGTGCTGCTCTAGCACTTCAAAGGGGCTTTACAACACCTGAGCCGGGGACTAGGTGGAGTCCCCAGCTGATCCCAGGCTCCTAATGAGCTGCCCCTTGGAAATGCCGCCGCGGCGCTTCCAAGGGGCAGTGCTGCATGCAGCCCGGGGGCAGCTGGGGACTCCAGCTGATCCCAGGCTCCATGCAGCGCTGCCCCGTTGAAATGCTGCCACATTGTTTCAAAGGGGAGGCGCATGCAATTAATCGCGCTGTTATTTGCGATTAAATTTAATCGCGTAATTAATCAGGATTAAATTTTGTCATCGCTTGACAGCCCTAGTTGATAGCTATGCTTCATGGAGGTATCCTGAGGCATGGTGCGATTGTGTGCCTTGTCCACTAATGTACTGCAAGTAAATAGCATAAGTGGGCATAAAATCTATTAACGCTAAGGCCCAATTCCCCACACTGCCTATTTACACCACTTGCTTCTCAGGATTTATACCCCAACAGCCAAATTCTGCCTTCTGTCACACCCATGTAATTTCCATTGACTTCACTGACTTGCCTGAGTGTCAGACACACCAGACTCTAGCATAGATACTTCATAATATATCTTGTGGAGAAGAAATGACAAAGTGACAAGCTATTAATAGACAGAATCAATTCAAACGCTTGCTTTTAATACATCAAGCTGAAAAGCAGAAAGTCTTGTTATTACAGGAAATGTTATAGAGAGTTAAATCACTTCTTGTGTTGGCAGGCGTAACTCCATAGTCTCACCCAATTCACTTTAGGCCTGAAATTGGTCCATAAAGTTTTCTAAATTATTGGTGCCCAGTAAATACATAAATATTATTTTTTCATGGAATATTAGTTGTGAGATATAAATTTTAAGAAGACTAAAGACACACTGCTATTTTCACAATCACACTTCTGTTTGAATATTTTTACCCAGTATTATTGCAAGTAACATATAAGATTGGAACACAAATAACTGAAATTAGAAAAAAACATATTCCTGTTTTTTTTGGTTTGTTTGCTATGGGCATTTGACAGCACTTTGTGCACAATTTCATGTTTCCCCTCTGCATAATCAGTCACTTTCCCTTTTCAATTATTTGATCTTTCACATAGTAATAGGACAAAGAAAACAATATAAAAACAAAATACAGAAACAAAAAACAAATAACAAAATGTGATTATAGAACTGCCAAAATAGCAGAGTCACTTGGGGTAAGTGTGGAATACCAAGTTTATTTTAACTTATTTTTTTTTAATTAAGTAGATTGCAACTGAAAGTCTCTCTTAATTTCTGAAGGTCCCTTGAACTTAATATCCAGAGCAGCTGATATTACAACTATTTCAAAAGGCAATTCTAGGGATTCACAATGTACCAAAAACATAAAGACATTCACTATGGGTGCGTCTAGACTGGCAAGATTTTGCGCAAAAGCAACTGCTTTTGCGCAAAATCTTGCCGCCTGTCTACACTGGC